GATATCACCCGCCATGAGGCCCTCCCCAGAGCTAAGCTGGTGCTAATGTCCTTGAGCAGAACTATGAGCTAAATAAACTCTTCTTTAATATGTCACCCAGCACCAGAATTTTGTTATAGCAGAAAATGAACTAACACAAGGAGCTAAAACATGATTCATTTGACTTGAGCTCATGTGGATCAAGGCTCCACCTCCTGCAGACTAGAGGCCTGATTTCTGCATTATTTTTACCAATTTATAACATGGGTACTTAGAAACTTATCTTTTCACCCAAGGTTAACAGGATTTAAATATTTATTTGGGCTGGAAAAGACCTGAAAAACATCACTTTACTCATCTCATCATTATGTAGATGAAGCCAGTCACATCAAGACCTATTCATTCTTTCACTAAACACTGACCGGTCACTGACCCCCAGGCCAGGAACATTCTAGGTACTCACTCTGTGGGCAAGGCAGATCTAGCACATCATTGGGATGATAAGCTGGGTTTCCTCACTCTGGCTCACAAGTTACCCCACTATGCCATAACTGGAGCTTAGAGTGGTTAAAGTTTGCTCACTGTCACAAAGCTAGTAAAAGACAGAGTCAACCTCAGACCCACTAATTTACTCCTGAAACCACAGCTAAGTCTCTGTCTCCCCCCACCCCTGCCTCTCTCTAAATTCCTGTGCAGTACCAGGGACTGAACCCAGGGTCTTCACACTGAGCTATATCCCCAGCCCTTTTTATATTTTTATTTTGACATAGCGTCTCACTAGTTGTCCAGGCTCAGCTTGAACTTGTTGTCTTGCCTCAGCCTCACAGGGTGCTGGGATTGTAAGCATCTGCCACTGTGCTTGACAATATGTGTTTTTTAAAAAGACTTTTGAGTAATTGGAAAAATTGGCATTCCACATGCCAAAGACCAAAACTAAACCCATATCTATCACCATACACCAAACTAAAGTAAAAATGGATCAAAGATCTAAATATTAAAACAGAAACACTAAATATACTGGAAGACAAGGCAGGTAGAAATCTTGAAGACATAGGGGTAGGCAGAGAATTCATGAACAAAACACAAACTGCGTGGGAAATACTTCAAAGAATCAACAACAGGGATCTCATCTTATTAAAAAGTTTTCACACATCAAAAGAAATCACCCACAGAGTGAAAAGAAAACTCACAGAATGGGAAAAAAATTTAACCAACTGTCCCTCAGACAAAGGGCTTCTATCTAAAACATATAAAGAATTGAAAAACATCAGGGACTCCAAATTCTAAGACCTAATCCAAATATGGGCATCTGAGATGAATACACACTTCTCAGATGAGGAAGTACAAATGGAAAACAAATATTTTAAAAAATGTTTAACATCATTGATCATTGGAGAAATGCAAATTAAAAAAACACTGAAGTTCCATCTCATTCCAGAAAGAAAGGTTGTCATCAATAAATCAACTAGTAACATATGCTGGAGGAGTCATGGGGAAAAGGAAAGCTTTTCCACTGTTGGTGGGAGTATAGACTAATACAACCACTATGGAAATCAGTGTTGAGATTCCTCAACAACAAGGATTGGAGGTCCCATTTGATCCAGCTATTTCCCTCCTGGTGTTTTCCCAGAAGAATTGAAAACAGTACCACAGGCGATATACGTGCATCCATATTTATAACAGCACAATACGTAATAGCTAACTCTTGGAAATGCCCATCAATCAAGGAATGGATAAATAAGATGTGGTATTTTTATATAATAGAATACTACTTAGCTATAAATAAGGATAAACTTGAGGCTTTTATAAAAACTTGAGACCATACTCATAAGTGAAACAAATCAGACTCAAATGTGTAAATATTATATTGTCTTCCTAGTATAAAAATCTGAAAGAGTAAATAAGATCCAAAATGTATAATAGATATTGTGAAAGTGAAAAGGAAAGAAACTGCTCAAAAAGAAAGAACAACTGGGATAGGGGAAAGGAGAAAAGAAAGAAAAAGATTTTATATATTTATACACACACAAGATAGATGATTATACTACTAATCTGTTAGTTCATCAAAAGGAATAGTTTTTACTTTCATTGTTTGAATGTTTGATCATGTTTTCATGCCTATATCTTGTAATCTGAACAACTATTTTGAAGATCACAATATACAATATATCAATCATTGTTAATCTATTGCTTTGAAATTCTGTATCATTTTATTATTTTTTGTTTTAAAATTTAAAAAGAAAAAACAGCCTATGAGCATGTCAGGCCAACTACTTTGTGCTATCTGGAGTGCCTAACCAAGTGAACAGAAATTGGCCGAAGCAGCAGTTTTATTTTCTGAAGGTTTACTTGCTATCGTCAACATGTTAGCAATACCTCTCATGATGGAAGAGAATTACTGCAGCAGGGTTCTTGGGCCTCAAGAAGCAGACTGGAACGGTAATGACTAACTGCCAGTGAAGCTGGAGTAACTGGCTGTCCTCCTCTTTCCAGCAAAGTCTCTCTGGGGGTAAACATGGGGGAAGAGAAACACGCTGGACTGACGGCAGCAGAGCTCCAGGGTACACCCTGGGCACAGGGGTCCATGGATGCTTCCTGACCACGGCCCAGTGTGGGTACTTGGGAAATGAATTGGCAGGAGTGATGCAGGTACTAACTCTGGGCAAGGGACCCTTCAGGGAGAAGCAGCCATGGGTTTGTGCTGACAACAGGTGCTGGAGAGAAGACAGTGCCATGGATGAGTGAGAGGCAGGGCCTTTCACACGGTGCCACACAGAAGGAGACTGGCCCTGCCTGAAGGGGGAAGAATCAGAGCCTTCAGGGAATCCTGGAGCCCAGAGGCTGCTCTGTGGGCTTAAGAAGGGCAGAGATGCTCTCTGTGCTCAGACTGGTTGGTTCCCTGAGCATTCAGAGTTCTCTCTGGGTGCCCCATTTTGCATCTCTCCCAGTATTGTGGGGTCAATGGCTGTGATCACGAAGGCAGAATGGGCAGGGCTTCCTTTTCCTCTGTGAGATGTGAGAGATCCAGGCAGTAGGGCCTGAGAGGATATTCAAGTCAGGGCCTATGGGTAGCAGGGGAGTGCAGGGGAGGAGGTAAAAGAGGAGGACACCCCTGGCTGGAAGGAGCAAGGGACTCCAGAACAGGGATTCCAGTCTAGTTTAGCACTACTATAAAATACCCAGGACTTCAGTGTTCCTGAAAGCTCTCCTTACATATCCAAAGACAGAAACAACCAGTACAAGAATGGGTTAACAAATGTAGTCTATTCATCCAATGGCGTATTATTCAGACAAGAAAAAGAGAAAGTTCTGATACAAGGCAACATGGTTGAACCTCAAAAATGTAATGCTAAGTACCAGAAGCTAGGCACAAAAGGATAAACACTGCATTGTTCAATGAAAATACCCTGAATAGGCAAATTTAAAGATAGAAAGTAAGTTAGAGGTTGTCAGGGGCTGAGAAGAAGAGAAGAAGGGAAAGGAAATGGTCAGTGGGCCTGGACTCTCTGGGAAGATAAGAAAGTTCCAGAGGTGAATGGTGGTGATGGCTGCACAAACAGCATAAATGTGCTTAATGCCCTGAACTGTGCCCTTAACAAGTGTTAAAATGACACACTTTATGCTACAGGTATCTCACTACAATAACAAACAAAACCTAGAATCAGAACTGGGAGCTGGCACTGTGTCATTATAGGGCACTGCCTGGTCTCCTTCCTTGCTGTACCTCTCTTTCTCGGGGTTCTGCCTTGTAGCCCTGAGCCCTGGATCCTGCCTGCCATGTCTGTGGTGTAGGCTGGTGGCAGACATAACTCTCACGTGCCAGCTCAGGTACTGTAAATCCCTGCCAGCTGGTGGCGTATGATCTCCATCCCTGACCTGGTGACTCATAGGGCCCAGATTCCCAGATACTCTGGAGGAGTGCAGTCTGCCAGAATCATCCTCTGCTGGGGCACTGGTGACGTCCCTTTTCCAGTATATGGCTCTTCTGTCAGTAAGTCCCTTTCCAGCTGCAGTTATAAAACCTCCAACCGCAATTATAAAAACTGAGTGACCCCAGGGCAGAATTCTGAGGAATGAGAGCTAAGAGTCACATATGCTTCATTTCTGCATCCTTACATACATGCAAACATTGCCTGATCATTCTCTCTACATCACTGTCTGGTTTCCAACAATGACCTCTCTAAATTGCCAAAGGTTACCATGTACAGTTCTATCCTCTGGCCCAGAAACCCATTCCCTTGTGGCTGCTCAGTGTTTCCACCAAGGCTGGTGTTCTGTTCTTGGGGACATTCTCACTGTCCTGGGCCTGAAGTGTCATCTCTCAATCTGCTCAGGCCACCTGAGCAGCAGTCCAAAGCTTGCACCACAGAAATACAAAGCTGTCAGCTAAAAGCTGAGCTCCTGAGTGTAGGAATCCCCCAGTCAGTAGGGACAGTGTAGACAGTGTGGCCTTATTAATGAGGCCGGGAGGAAGATGGAAGAGCAAGTGAAGCTGGAGTCATAATATGTGTCTTATTTCATGTTAGTTTTAGCAAAGGGATATCCCTGAACGAAACCCAGGAGTCACATCTTATCAGGGTAGACACTGAGAGCCACATGGTTTCTGTAGACCTAGAGAATGTGATGCTGCCATGAATGAAGCTGGCTCCAGTCACAGGGCCACTGAAGACACCCACAGAATAACGAACGGGTGGGTGATTAAGTACAAACACTCACACCTCCAGACCCCAAAGTTCCCTTTTCCCACACGCTGGAACCCTCACTGAGTAAAGAGCATATCTCTGTGGAACAAAGTCATCGCACTACAATAAGACAGCCCCTTTAGGTCACCAATGCAGGACATGGCCATTCACTTGAGCTGTTAAAGAGCCCAGAACCCTGCTAAGCCAGGCTCTTCCAGCCATGACATGCAAATCTTCTCCCCAGCCACAACACACTCAAGGAGGGAGAGCAGGGCTTCTGGTCCCAGCCACTAAGCTCTGCTCCCTGTGGTCGCAGGGCAGGGCACACCTAGAGCTTACCTGCCTCACCGACAAAGACTTCCACAGGCGCGCTAGCAGGACTCTCGCCGATGACGTTGTAGGCGGTCATGATCACTTCATAGCGCCTGTACTTCTTCAGATCTATGAAGGTAAAGGAGACTGGTCAGCCCGCAGTGGGGCCACCTTAGGAAGCTCCCTCTGTGGTCACACTACAGAAACCAGCACCCGAAAGGGAGGCAGGGAACAGTGACAATGCTTCCTACAGAGCTCTCCAGCCCTATTACACGTCACTTCCCTTCCCCTCCCGGCAGTCAATCCCACAGAGCAGGAAGCTCTGCCCCATTGCACTCATGAAAGGCAGCCCCAAAGCCTTCCCCGAGCAGGGCTTAGTCGCAGCCAGTCCTGGCCTGGATCTTTCCAGAGGACCAACAGGTGCAGGAAGACCTTGGCATTTTAAAAGAAATTACAAAAATATAAGCAGACCCGAATCCCTTCAGTTTTTCATGATCATGTACTGGGAAGAAAAGGGTGAGGGTGACTTGTGTGTGTGGTATGTGTGGTGTGTGTGGGGTATATGTGTGGCGTGTGTGAGGTGTGTGTGAAGCATGTGCAGTGTGTGTGCGGTGTGTGTGAAGCGTGTGCGGTGTGTGTGAAGCATGTGCAGTGTGTGTGCGGTGTGTGTGAAGCGTGTGCGGTGTGTGTGAGGTATGTGTGAAGCGTCTGTGGTGTGTGTGAAGCATGTGCAGTGTGTGTGCGGTGTGTGTGAAGCGTGTGCGGTGTGTGTGAAGCATGTGCAGTGTGTGTGTGGTGTGTGTGAAGCGTGTGCGATGTGTGTGAGGTATGTGTGAAGCGTCTGTGGGGTATGTGAGGTGTGTGGGGGTGTGTGTTGGGTACATGTAACATGTGTATGGGCTGTGTGAGGGAGTATGAAGTGTGTGGGGTGTGTGTGCAGTGTGTGTGGGCTGTGTGTGAAGAGTATGGGATGTGTGTGTGGGCTATGTGTGGGAAGCCATGTTTGTAGTGACACAGATAGGTGGCTTCACATTGAGCGACAGGGAGAGAGAAGCTGACATTGAAGCCAAAAACTGACCCATGGGGATACTTCTGTGGGGCTCATGTGACTTTGCCAGGCCCTACATATGTCACCACTGGGATGAGTACTGGATCCACACCAGGCCCACACTTTCGACTCCCTCGATGAGTCAGACCAGAGAGGCCCTCTTGTCCTGCCCCTCCGCTGAGTCAGAATCCCATACTCTGACTTTCACCCTAGCAGGAACAGAGATCAGCCCACATGAAGCACTCTTGTACCCCCACAGGCTGGCTAGTGGGTCTCAACCCAGGGACTCTCCTGGTTACTGAGTCCTGGCAGGAGGAGGCTGAAAACCCAGCATGACCTCCAGCTTGGGGACCCTCCAAGCCAGAACTCCAGGATCCCCGAGCTCTAACTTGCTGCTTTGCTGAGGGAGGTACCTGGTCCAGGGTGGATAGCTCGTAAATATGTGCACAGGAGCAGCGAACATGGAGAAAGAGTGATGGGGTAAGCAGAAGACCCACTGGACATGTGACAGTCTGGGAAGGAGTGTGGCATAGGAAGACACATCTCCGGCTAAATCCTGCCCTGTTATCCAGGGGATGGGTCAGCTGCCCACAACATGTGGGGTAGAATGGCGTGGTGTGGATGAGGCCTATGAAGAACTGTCACAGGGGCTCTGAAAGGCCTGGCTCCCCTACCCCAGCCCCCATCCACTCTAACCCAGCCACATTCTCTGCATCAAAGAAAACCACATTATGGGATCTCTGCCATGCACAAATTAGATTTTTTTAAGGTGCTGTGGACCAAATCTAGGAGCACCATGAATGCTAAGCAAATGCCCCCACATTTGAATCTTGAAACCCATCCTTAGCCAAAAACCAAAGAGAAAGCTGCACAGTTTAAACCCAGACAAACAAAATGCAGTGTTTAATCAGTGGAAATTATTCAGCCGTAAGAAGAATGGACATGGCGATGAACCATGCAGACAGGATTCTCAGGGAAATAAGCCAGGCCTGAGGGGACAGAAGAAGAGCCTGTCCATGTGAGGTCCCCAGAGGTGCTGGATTTTAGAGGCAGGAAGCAGCATGGTGGGAGCTGGGAATGAAGAGTTCATGTTTAATGAGGTCACAGTTTCAGTTTGGGAAGATGGAAAAGTTCTGGCGGTGGATGGTGGTAAGTGGATCATCATCACCCACTAAAAGTAGTTAAGACAATAAATTGTATGCCATGTCCATTTTGTCACAATTTAAGAAAACAAAGGGCCAATGGAGTCAAAGGGGAGATCCTGTCCAACCTGACTTTCCTTTCCATCCCAGCCCAGGAGACCAGAAGCCAGGACTGCAAACCCTCTAGACGTTTCCTTTCCTGTTCCCTGATGATTTCAGCATGTTGAGAACCAGTGTTGGAGTGGGGTGGGGGACTCCAGAAGTTAGAACCATTAATCCAACCTGGTTTCCCTTGGTCCACTGAGAGCCTAATTGGCAAGGTCTGATCACAGTGGCCTCCAGCTAGAGACGTGCACACTTACGTGTTAATTCATACGTTGTTAACGTGGAACTGCTGTTCACGGTCTTGAAGCTGCTTTGGGCTATCAGGGGTAAGCAAAGCAGAAAGGCAGTTAGCACAAATGGAAGCAGTTATTGAAGCAGACATGAGGGGAGGAGGCAAGCTCCCATGTGCCCATACCCCTCCCATTGGCCCTGAGGCTACTGAAGCTTTTCCTATAACAGCAAAAACACCAGTCTGAGTCAGGTGGAGGGGGCCACCCTTCGATGGAACTGAACTTGTGTGCAGTGTCTGGCCTGCCATTCTGCCTGGGAAGCATTATACCAGGGAAGACTCAGACACAATTCCTCCCAGATATTGCTAGAAAGCAGGGTCGTCAGCTAGTTGATGCTCACTTGTGGAGCTCTGCCCTGAGATCACCAAAACTAAGAACCCGTGTGTGACCCAGCATATGTGCCTACCCTCACTATGTGCTGAGCCTTCTGTGCACAGAGCCTAGGGAGATGCTAACGTCAGGTCACCAGCAAGGGACACCTTCCTGGTGGGGCAAAGGTGAAAAACAGCCTCTCTCTTTCCTCAGGATCAGCAGTGCGGCTCCTGAACCCATCAGGGTCACCTGTGTGTATATAAGGCTCTATGGTATCTGGTGGAAAGGCTGAGTACTGGGGAGCAGACTTCAAGGGAGAAGAGTGGAGATGTGGAAGGTGCTGCCCAGGGCTACATTCCTAGACCTACTTCCACCTGTGTCCTTGTCAAGGGCAGGTTGGGCTTTCTGTGACACCTTGGTGGGGGGCCAGGAGATGAAAGCCTCTAGCTCCTTCCAAGAGAGGATGTGGGGTGGGGTGGGCGTGGCGGTCTTGCCATTCCTGAGGCTGCCTTGGTGACAGCCAGGCCAAAGGCAGAGTAGGCCAGGCCCAAGTCAGGCCAGGGGTGACAACAGTAGAGTCTGCCTTTGCTGTGATGAGGCTGGGCCAGCCTCTCTCTCAAGCCTATGCCATTCCTAGACACCACAGCTGTGCTTCCCTAAGGTCTGGTGCTTGTCCTTCTTTTGTCCATGGCACTCAAGGTCCCATTGTCCCCCAGCTGTGCCCTACCAACCTCAAATGTGCACTATGCTTGCTACCACTGCAAACTATGTGACCTAGGTAGCTGCATAGGTCTGTGTCCCCTCCAGGCCCAATGGTAGAAGGTCACTGAGAATCCCCTGCCCAGTGTGGGGAGATCCCAGGTATGGGTGAAAGGTTCACCTGTGAGCTCAGCTCGCAGTGCGGAAGGGCTTTTGAGCATCTTGGCCTCTGGGCTGGTGCCTGCTTCAGACTCCAACTCCCTGTAGTAGATACGGTATCCCTGCAGAAGCCCATTGAGGCTCTCATCCCTTGGAGGCTGCAAAGATATCACATGCTCAGCCACGCCAAGGGTCATGCTGGCCTCTGCCTCAGTTTAACTAATCAACTGTGCAGTGGAGTCACTTGGTCAAGTCTATGTTTCCAATTGTTAAAGCAAAGAAAGAAAGGTATGAAATTTGTGAGGAGCCCTTGTTCAGTCTTGAATTACCTTGGTGTCTGAGGGGACATAAACATCTTCCCTAGTATCTAGCTAGACCTCTTGAAGGAGCCCCAAGGCACACAGCCCCAAGGCAAGAAGACTGCCAAGATGGTGTAACTCCAGAACACAAGGCAACATGGAGCATGGCCCAAGCCCTGTGACTCACCCTGCCCTGTCTGCTCATCTCTGCCACCCATGTTGTGGCAACCATACTCACTGACCCCTCCACATGCCAGGCTACCCCACTGCACAACCACACCAAGGCTGGATCCCTCATGGACCCCATGTGCTGCCATAAGAAAGGCAGTGACAGGGAAGGGCATATTCCCAGGACAGGCAGAGATAGACATGGGCTCAGATCCTGCTGGGACACAGGTGTGTGGGACCAAAGACCTCTTCTAATCCAAGTGGCTGCTTGCCATGCAAGACCCAGCCAAGGCTGTCTTCCTCCTGCAGTTGATGTCTGTTAACAAGCTAGGGGAGGATATTTACTGTATTTGACAGATCTTTCAGTAGAAGGAAAGCCCTTCCTTCTGTACAGGCTTCTCATGAAGCCCCAGTGCTCACAGCCATGCTAGGTGTTGGGGCTCTGACAGTCTCTCCTCCTGAGGCTCAGATGAAAATGAAGGATTTCTAAATGACCTTCTAAGCTGAGACCAGGAAAGTAGATGAGACAAGATCACAAAAACCTTGTTCAAGAACAGGAGGAACATTGAATTCCCATGACTCCTACAGAGTGGTTGAGTACACAAGGCCACTAGCCCCTCAGGTCATTGTCCTGTGGCCTGAGTGAAGTTCACAGCTTTGCTGCCACAGACTCTCATTGCTGTGAGCTGCATGGTATTCAAGTCTACATGCTAGTGCCTGTGAAGTGACCCCATTAGGAAACAGGATCTTTTACAGGCAGAATTAATAGTTGAGATGAGGTCACCCTACTCCAGTAACTAGTGTCCTGAGGAGAGGAGGGAAATTTGGACAGACAACACAAGGGGAATGTCATGCAGAGACTGAAACAGATCAGCAAGCCAAAGGATGCCCATGGGTGCTGTCAATTATAGGACATCCTCGCCACCCATGCTTGTGGCAACCATGCTGGAAGAGGCAAGGAAGCGGCCCTTCTCTAAGAGAGTGTGGATCTGCTGACACCTTGATTTTGGACTTCTGGCCCCCAGAACTGTACTTTAAGCTGCCAGCTTACGCTCATTTTGACAGTAACCCTGGGTAACCGATACACCCTTGCTGTGAGAATGTTCACTCTAATTCCTTCTCTCCCATCTGTCCAATCCAGGAACCAAAAGGATCTGGGTTTTTAGAAAAACCCTTTATTTTGAACTCTTGATAGTCTTGATCCAAAACTGATATTTGGAGCAGGCAAGCTCCTTTGCTCTCCAATCCTTCCCACTGAATGGCTCAGAGAGCCAGGAATATATGTTTCTCCTTTTGTTTTTTGCTATACTAGAGATTAAACTCAGGACCTTCACACTGAGTAATATTCCAAGGCCCTTTTTATTTATCTTAAAAATTCAAGACAGGGTGTCACTAAGTTGCTAAGTACCCAAGGCTGGACTGCAACTTGTGACCCTCAGTCTCAGCCCCTGACATGAGTTAACACTGTTAGCAACAATAATTACACTTGACCAAGGAGTATAGTGTGCACATGTCATACCCCGGATACCTTTCGAAACGAGAGCTGCTAATACACTGAGTCTTCAGGCCCTAGACCTGCCACACAGAAGGGCTAGCAGCCCTCTGCCATTCTCTGCATGCCCCCAACCCAGGAATAGCACCCCAGCACATAACCACCTGGCCAGAAGCAGAAAAGTATAAACAGACACCAGGGTGGACCTGCCAGGTCTTGCCGGCCCACATCAGAGGGGCCAGAAGATCCACATGGGTGGGGGCTTTGGCCTGGATACAGCTCTGCCCCCTTGGTCAGGCAGCAGAGCCAGGTGTGGAGAGGTCACATCTGACTGAAAGGCCTCAGTGTCTGAGTTAGCACTTCCATGTGTCTATTGGACAGACTCTTATAATGTATGCCAGCTCCTCCGCCCTCTGGCCTCCATCACACTTAAGGCCAGGAAGAAAGCAGGACCTGAATACTGTGGGCTGTTTCCCTGTACCTCGCTGAAAGCAGTGCAGAGTCTTGTGGATGATTCTCCATCCTTTTGTCCTCTGTCTCTTGAAGACGTAGCTGAATTTTAGGACTGTAAAAGGCTTCTGCAGTCTCCTTACAGAAGGGACCATATCTTGTACAGGTCTTGTGCTTAACATGAGGTTTGTTCTGGGCATAGCCTTTTGTGTTAGCTTAGAATAAATCACTCTCTTATCTCAGAATTGTTCATTGTTATTTTTTATGAAGTTGCAAAGTGGATGAATAAGAATAACAGGCATTTCCTATGCTCTCTCAATTTTACCCCTGCCCAATGGAGGCCTCAGGGAAATGCTGGCCTTGGCTATTTTGCCAACAATGGCTCAGAAATCCAATGTGGCCTGTGGGCCTGTGGTGAAATAGAGCAGGGCTGAGGTAGGCTGGAAGGGAAGGGTTCTACACAGCTATAGCATGGATGCAGGTCAGGTATGAGCAAATGCCTGAAACCGCTGGAGTCTGCATCTGGGGGAGTCAGCTGTCACTGGCTACCTCCTCAGGTCTATGTAGTCTCCTGTGTCCGGATCCCGAGTGCTGTGGCAGGATGTAAGCAAGAACTGTGGAGCTTCCTGGAGCAGTGCTTACTGCCAAAGCAGATTAGAGGCTAATTTACAGAGAAATGAGTTTGAGCAGCCAATGGAGGAGAAAGTGGCCACAGCACTTTGTGTGGATCCTTTAGGAGGCTGTAAGGGCAGGGCAAGCTCCCTATGGGTGAGGCAGGTTTGGGATGAGCAGCCAGGCCAAGGGTGCAGCCTCCTGACCTGTGTTGTTCTCTATGGTGGACTCCTAGGATGATCTGAAGCTTAATTCAGGACACTGACCAGAGTGGAGCTTTCCCTGAGTCACTGAAAAGCCACTCAGGGGCCCAGATGGTACCCTGGGCCATTGCTATCCCATCCTGTAGAAATGCATGAGAAAGGAGCCCTCTGCCAAATGATGGACAGCAGACCTCCTCCCAAGCACTCTAAGATTTTTCCTTGACCATACAGGGAGGTACTACCCTGCTCCCTTGCTCTGACCCACACAGAGATGTGTGCCAGGAGCCTGATTTTGCAGTCCTGCCCAGAGTCCCTGGCACTGTCCTCACTCACACTGGTGGGAGGGATGTGGGAATGATAGGACTCTGGCAGGGAAGATGAGAAGTCTCATCCCTTGGCTTTTGGGATCTGGGCTGGTTAACTGGAATCAGGCAAGAAGGGAGAGGCAAGTAGCAGATAAAATACTTGCAGCTGGGCCTCTTTTAAATGCCAGCTTGCAATCTCCCCTGAGGATCATTTTCAAAGCCTCCCTCAGTCCTGGATTATTCCCATGGCAGCTCAGGCACTGGGCCCCAGCAGGAGGACTGCCAAGGCTCTGCTGCCGACCCTGCAGCAATCAGAGTTGGAGATGCAATCACAGCCAGGGCAATTTACCATGGGGCATAAGGGAGGATGGATGGGAATGTGATTCACCAAAAATATCAGATAAACAGGAAATGAGGAGGCTGGGAAAATAACATCGTCTCTGGGGACTAAGTGTGGCTCTGGAGCCGGCAGTAGAGACACTGTTCCCGGGTCCTGAGGCACAGAGATCTGGCAGTGAGGGCTCCTAATCTTGGGTTCAAGAATATTTCTAGCCCAGGTAGACAAGATGCCTTGAGATATTGGTAGAAGAGGTCAATCTCCACATTCAAAGGCACAAAGACCACCAGGCTGAGGTCACATTTGCCAAAAGGCTGACAAATAGCTGCCTACACCAGAAGTCCTAAGCAACTCAAGGGTCAAAATCTATCCCTGTTGCTAGCAGGAGTATCTTAGGGAGAAGGCACAGCCCTGCAGTGGCTTGGTGGACCATTCCTGGAGGCCTGTGTGCTGGAGGCTTGGTCCTTAGGATGGTGCTCTGGGAGGTGCTGGAACCTTTGGGACATGGGAGGCCCTGGGTTGGTAGGGTTGAAACTTCCAAGGAGAGTGTGAGATCCTGGGTGCTCTTTGTCTCTTTTCCTTCCTGGTTTCTGTCTCTTTCCTTCCTAGATGAGCAGTGTGCTCTTTCATGTGCTCTCCGGCACTGTCATCTGGGATCTTCACCAGAGCCTCAAAGCAGCAAGTCTGCCTGATCATGAAGCTCCAGAACTGGGAGCTGAATGAACCTTTTCTCTTGTAAGTTTATTGTCTCAGGTGTCTTGTTATATCGGCACACAGCTGGTTGACCTGGGCCCAGAGGGCGGCTTCATTAGGGACCTCAACTGGCCCAGGCCCCATCTTTCCAGCCAAGCTTCACTCACCAGGGATGGTTACTATGCAGACAGTACAGTTGCAAGCATGGGATTCAGAATTGTGTATAACCTAGTTTTCCATCTGTGGAGTAAAGGATTATCCCATAAGCTCTGGAGGCCCCCAGAAGTCACAGTAAGGCAGCTCATGGGCTCAAGGGCTGGGTGGGTTGGTCTTTGGATGTGAACTTTGATTTTTGTGGCCACTATGATCACTTGAATCCCCAGGCTCCTAATGTACTCATAACAGGCAAGAGTTGAACTGACGATCTCCAAGTACTATATGAATCTAAAAGAATGTCTCTCTGCACCTAGACAGGTTCTCTGAGCTCTCAGCTGATGTGTCTGAACTGTCATGTGTGTGTCTCTTAGCACTGGGGCCTGATAGACTTGGATGAAGTAGTTATTCAGTCAACTTTCTAGAGACTATGACAACCATGTCTACACTGTGTTCTAGCCCAAATGGCCATGTAGGCAGATGCTTGAGGGGACTAAGCACCTTCCTAATTGTCTTCTTCTGCTGGAGTCTTGAATGAGTTTGGTCCCAGTGAAAATTCAAGTGATATAGCAGCAGTGTGTTTACGTATTATCACACAACACAACAGGGAGACTACGGTGCACTGGGGAGGCCAGGATGGATAGGAAGTTGCATGGAGGGAAGGACTCTAGCTCTAGCGTGAGTCCCATCTTGAGCTCTACCCTGCCTGACAGGAACAGGCTAAGCCATACAGCTTGGGTGGGAGGAACGTAGGGCAGGCCCTGGCTAGGCCCATTCTATAGGCAAGGACCTGGACTGAGGGATAGCAAGAGGCAGATCTGTGACCAAGTCGTAATCAAAATGGATTGCCACAATCCCTGGCCATGCCTTCCACTTCCTGGAGAGGGGAATAGGGATTCCCTCTAGGATTAAGTCCAGTGGTTATAGAAACACAGGAGGCCTGGTGCCTTCCCTTGACATGCAGCATCAAATTCCTGGAACTTCCTGCCTCCAAGCCTTTGCCCCAGCCATGCCTTGTTGCTTTGTACCTGAGGAGGCCATCTGTCCCTTGAAGTGTATTTAGGTTTCCCTCTGGCCACAGTTAGTGGCTCCCTGCTGCCTTTCCACTGATGCAAACTGTGCCTGTTTCTTCTTCCCCAGTAGCCCAGAGCTCAGCTTTGGAGCTGGCCTTCTGCATATTGTAGTGCAAATGGAGAAAAGAATGAATTCCAGGATCTGTTGTGAAAAAGTCTTGAGGCCCTTCTCCTTGCCCAGCAGCTGTCACACTCCCTGGGAAGGTGCCTGTGACAGCACTGAGTCCATCTTCCTTGGGCAGCTCCAAGAATGAGGTGATCTACTGCTTGGGTTTTTTTCTTTGCTAGAAAACAGTGTGCAGATCCACTCAGAGAACTCTGAGGTGCCTGAGGGGACATGATTTTGAATGGCAGGTAGCACCTCCTAGGAGGCTTAGGAAAGCCAGCATCAATGTTGTGATCAACTCTGAGACCTCCCTGCCTGTTCCGAGGGGTACTCAGCATGAACATAGTGCCCCTCCTGTCTGGGATACACGTTCCAATTCCAGGATTTCAAACAGAACAGGACCCCATGGAGGCACAGATTGATTATCCCACTAAGAAGAATCAGACTTGACAGGCTGCAGTGGAGGAGGCATTTAATGGGGCTGAGCCTTGAAATTACTGCCAGTGTTTGCATTTTTCAACAAATTACTGAAGAAACAAAGGTTTACAGGTGAAACATTTCATTGGGAATGCAAATCTATATTTAAACCCAGTTTCATTTCCTTTGTTCTGTTGGCTCTGATTTAGCAAATTACTCATAATTTCAGTTGTACCTCAACTGTCTGGCAGTTGACAGGCATTCATTCCTATAATACAGCACATTGACCACCTCCTGCTCTGGACTTTTTGCAGTTAGTTTGTTCCAGTGGGCTTGAAGAGGACAGCTGATGGACACATGTGCCAAGTTCCTCTGGTGTTGCTTTCAGATCTTCCAGCAGCAATGGAAGTGCTTGATGTGCACTGTTGGAAGCAGGATGCCACAGCTGACTGTGATTCACGGTCACTGACCTGGAGAGGTCAACCTGTTGTGCCTTGAGTATTGGCTGCTTTTAGAGAGAGGAGCTTACCTTGTGATTGGCAGACCAACAGCCATGTCTACAAAGAAAATGCTAATTTTTGAATGGAACTTAACACAGTACAAAAGCCCAATCTTCTTTCAGTTGATCACATTCATGGAAGGTGGGAGACACAAGTGCTTGGCACCTTGAATTTCCATTTTGAGTGTTTCCTACCTCATGGCACAGGAATTGGGGCCCAAAGGGGACTGTTGGTATGATGGCCTGGAATAATCAGAGACTGTGGTCTTTAAAATCTTCTGTTTCTAAAGCAGGGATCTAGAGGTAGAGAGGCCTCTTATAGTTACAGTGGTACTGGGGAGATGAAAGCCAGGTCCTTTGTCATTTTGCTAGGGGCTTCCAGGCACATAGTGGTGGATGGGAGTCCAGGCTGTGTGTCCCTGTTCCCATCCAATTCTGTACTCCACAATAAACCTAGAAGAGATTTAATTCATGGCAGCAAATTTTCAGGTTTGCCAGGAGATGTTTAGAAATGTCTTCCTGTCACTCTGAGAAGTTTCTGCCTTCTCAAGAGAAGACACGAGGTCACAGAAAGGAGGTGAAGAAGGGCCACATGATTTCATTAATGTTCAGAGGAGATGACATGTTCTTGGCAGAAACTTGGTTTACTGAAGTCAAACAAGTGGCAGTCACAAGTTTCATTGAGTTGATCTCTACGAAATGGCCATCTCTGTCCTTGGCTGTGGTGTCATTTACTAGGTTTCAGTCTAGTACTGACACCAACAAGTGACAACCTTGCTAGGAAAGCAGAACTGTTAGGAATCAGCAGTTGCAAGCAGGATAATTACATACTTCTGTCATGAGGTTTCTCCAGCTCCTACCAGGTCTCCTGACTTGGTTCCTTCCCCTCAGCTATGGCCCTGGCCTTCAGGTGCTCCAGAAAGGCTGCTGAGGCAGCTTGGTCCTCTTTGGGACCTGAGAAACACTCCCTTAGGATGAATTCCTTGAAAGCCTTGTGCTCCTTGGCATCTCTGCTCCCAGACCAGGGACCAGCTCTTGTATACAGATTCCGGTCCTCATTCCTGAGGTGGGCCCCTCTGTTATCGGTATCTGTTTACTAACCCTCCAGTCAGTAAATATGACCCAGAACTGGGAATAAGTGCAGAGAGGGCAGCATGTCCTTTCAATGCTGCACTGGAGCATTTGTCACAGAACACAGAGGATGGCCCAGTACCAGGGATATATGGCTTGTCTACTTCAGTGTTCCCTGGAGATTAAAGACTCACACTTTGCAAAAATACACACAATCCTGTTGCCATTCTATGTAGCAGTGGGTAACCTCTCTAGGCAAATAGGTAACTGCAGGTGAACTGACTCCCCTGGAGGACATTGGGAAGAGAGGACTAGCATCCTATACAGGCTCACAAGCATCCAATCCTGGAATGCCTAACCCGGTCCTGGCATCCTACCCGCCTGCCTACCCTGAGGAGTCCAGGATATGTTTATTCTGTCTTTGCACTGTGGTCATAGCTGTAGCATTCAGGAAATAACTATGACATATTTCCCTTTTACTTGCCAGCTAAGTAGGCTGTATCACTGCTCTGCTCACATGATTGGTGTAAGTGTGGCTTGTGTCCAAGTCCAGCCAACTTGGATGAAAGGGGTCAGAGATTAAGAGTGTATTGTGTAAACTTCTAGGGTCCCCAGATCTTACCTGCCACTGGATCAGCACAGAGGAAGTGGTGTGCGGTGTAGCAGAGACAGACCCTGGAGGCTCTCCTGGAACTGAAGCACAGAAGCAGGGTTAGAATGGCCTGGGGGCCACCCCAGCTATGTGAGGGGTGATCAGTCCTGCCCCTCCTCCCCATGGGCAGCCTTCTTGCCTTTTTGAAGAGCTCCCGAAGGTGGCCAATTATAAAAAGCATGGCCACAAGCATTGCCCTCACCTTTGCTCTTCACAGTGACTTCAATTGAGTCTGACCTCTCCTCTCCCTGGTGGACCAGCTAAGGGCTGTTCACTCCACCTACAGGCACCTGGGAGCTCCCTATAGTTCCAGAACTTTGAGAAGTGGTGGAACTACATCATTTTTTAAAAGTCTTAGGTCAGAATTGATTCTGAGCAGGATAGATGGTCACATCAGGTATGTTTGAATTCTAATAGGGCTGTTGGGAAAGGGAGCTGACTTGGGTAAGGCTGCCCATGGCAAAAGGCAGTGGGTCATGGTATAGGAACCCAGGCAGTTCTGATCAACCTCTTTGGAGGTTGGTTTGACCTCTGCTCAAGGCTGAGCCCTGCCTTCTTATCAAAGCAAAATCTTCATCATCTAATATATCAGAGGATTTCTTTGACTCATGCTATGTATGTCCCCTTCTAAATTAATGCAGCCCTCTTTTGGGAACTGAATTGATTTCTTCAGGTCTGCCTGGATGGAAGGTCCTAGAAGAGGCCTGATAGTCTATGTCTGATAACTACCCCCTGAGCTGAGTCTGACGGAGGGTATCCCACACTCCCATGTGAGTGCTTGTCCAAAATGCCAGGGTCACTATTCTGTGATTCTCCTCTAGACATGTGATCCCCTTTGTCTCCCCATCACCATTTACTTCCCCTTCCCCTCCAAAGTCCAGGCCTCATTTGAGCCTCCTGCTGGTCTGTCTCAGGTGAGCCTTGGTTTAGCTTTCCTGAGAGCCCTTCACATCAGATCTCAGTTACAGGGCAGGGGAATAAGAACCACCCTAATAAAAAATGTTTATCAGTAAACCATCCAAGCAGGCTCAAAGGACCCTCCTCACCTAGCACAGGTTGGGTCACATAGCCTGCAGCCTGTCAATCTCCACTGACAGCAGGAGACAGTACAGCACAAATACAATGCAAATCCTCCGCAAAGGGAAACTGCACCTCTTAGAAAAAGAAGATGATGAGATAGGTGCATCAAAAGCACTGATTTGAATATCAAAGGATTAAGAAAGGCCTCAGGATCCTGAAGAGTCTTTTGAATAGATTTTCAGAAAGACCTATCCCTCAGGTCACAAGGGAGCTGTTGCATCTCATGCTCACAGGGTTTGTCAGAGATAACACAACAATAAAAGCTGCTTGTTGTGTGTCTTTCTACTTAATTCTAAGAATTACTGAGAGGTTGCAAATATTACCTCAGTTGTGTTAAATGTGAGATTAAAGTGAAGGTATTTGCAGTTTGGGTCAGGACTCAAGTTGCAAAGCTGACCTTCTCTTGTGGGGAGTGCCAGGTTGGTCTCACTGTAAGTGGATTGATTGGAGGATAGGAGTTTGGCCTATGTGCAGCCTCACCCTGGGTGAAGCTGTTTGCCTCCCTTTTGATTTTCCTATTGGCCCGCCGTGAGGTCTCTGAGGTTGACACGGCCCTTGGCAAAGCTGAGCCAGTGAGGCATGCCTGGCCCTACCATTTAGCTTCCCCTGTGTGCTAACAAACTCCCAGGATCATAGAGCCAGGGAAATAATTTGGGCATTCATTGATGCTGGAGTCACAAAATTATTTGTCGAGGCAGGTCCTGACTTTTGCAAGGACTTGGCCAGTCAGGGGCCTCCATGAGCCTGGAAGACCCCTCTGTTAGGGCACAAACCAGCAGATTCGGTGCACTGAGAGAGTCTCTGAGTATAGCTGAGACACTGAACATGGCTCCCTCCACCTCTGAGCTGGTCTCTCAGGTCTTGTGAGGCCCTGGGTGGCAGCAACTGAACTTAAAAGTTCTAAAAAGAGCAGAACCAAAGATGTGAGGTCATGGGGTGAAGCCAGCTGGAAGCTACTCTATTTGAAAATTGTTCCACTGGTGTGTTAAATGGAAAAGACAGTGCTTTGGTCTGGCTTAGGGAATTGTTATAAAGCACTGTTGGGTGAACTAAGTGCTTAGACTGTGGGTTGGAGCTGCCTGCTGCAAAATATCCATCCTTTTCTGTCCCATGGGTGGGTTACACAGCCTGACATGTCTGATGTAACTGTCTCCTGGGCTCACTGAAGCCTGGCAGCATTGGGTCATAGGAAATTACAATGAATCTTCAGATCCAGCGGCTCTGAGGTAGGATGGGGATTTAAAATCCACCTGGTACTTTGAGGGGCTCTGCCTTCCATCACTTACCCATGCTGTTCTCAAATGCAGTGCTCATGGATGAGAAAAATGGGGGAAGCCTCTCAAACCCAGCTACCCACTGACATTTATTTTTAATGACCCTATCAGTTATTCAATTTCTGGGATGCTAATGGACACAGGGGTTTTGGAAGACAATCAAAGAAAGTTTCATTCCATTTGGAAGCCCTTGATGCCTTGATTTACAATCGCGGGGTGTGTGGAAATACTCTAAGCTGTCTGTTACTAATGGGATTCTGCTGCTTGCCACCTCCCTGGTGACCTCTTTCTTCCTGGCTCTGGATGAAAGTGGGGCCCCTCATAGGAGCAAGTCGGGGGCTTTAGGGCTGCTCGCTCACCATCCTGCAGTGTCGTGACCGCCTCAGTCTCTGAACTAAAGTTGCTGTCTCCAATGTCATTGGTAGCTTTCAAGCGCAGCTTGTAGGAGGTGAAGGGTCTCAGCCTAAAGAGGAAAGAAGACACATGGCTTTGGGGGACCTGGCATCCTGCCTTGCCCTCATGTTCCCAGTGAACTGTGGCAGTGAGACAGAGACCACTATGGGGACAAAGGTGAGGGGCATTCCTGGGTCTCAAGTCAGACGTGTTTCCCATTAATGGCACATGCTCTTCCCTTTGCCTTTGCTCTCCCAAATAATCTTATCACTCTCAAAACCCAGATGTATCATTAAAGCCCAGGTGCCCTCACCATAGTATCTCCAGAATAAGCCAGATGAGAAAATGATGCTATTGAGGTCACCATAGAGGGACAGAAAACAGACACACTCCTGGGCCCTTAACCCATTACTCATAAAAAGCATGATTTATGTTTTTTTCTGAGGCAGTCAGGAACTTAACAGCTGCTTTTGGTAAAAGACAGTTAACTCTTCATTTGGACCTACAGATGCCCAATGGGTAAGAATCAGGATAAATCCTGGCATCTCTACCTTCACTTTACATTTGTTTCTTTTATCACCTTCAAACTTTGAGTCAGATTGCTGCTCAGCTCTACACGAGGGCAGGTTAATCACTTAAGGAAGCTCTTAGTCTCAAATGTACCTAACCTATCTCATCCCCCATCAAGACTGAAAATACCAAGATAAGAGATTTTGAGATTTCTCTACTGTCCATGTGGGTCTAGAGAAACTAGAGGTTCTGGTCATTGTCCCAGAAGCTGCTGTCCCTTTGGACTCCAGCAGAGCCTTGCAGAGCTGAGCCTGCCTCCCCTCACCAAGCAGGAGCAACCATCTTTTGGAAACCAGATTGTGCCTCAAATGCCAAGAACTTCTCTGGAGTCACCTTGCAGAATAAGAACCAAGGTAATAAATGATCAACCAGACCCTAGACCACCTGAACCATCCTATAAAAAGCTGGTCCTTTTCCTTTGTTGATGGGATACTTTAATCTTCTCCATCTGCTCTGTGGTCCCTGTTGAAGGAAGAAATAGATGTGGATGATGGTGCTGGGCTTTGCAGCACTGGGCCTATGAGTCTGTCACATGGTGGATGTTCCAGACAAAACTTGGGGTGCATTTAGCAGTGTGTAGTGCTGGGTGTTACTATGGGCTAATGGTTTGGGGACTGGGGTCACATTGCATGTTCTTCAAGGACACTCTTTCTCTACTCTCTACTCTCTCTACACTCTCTCATGTGGGCACACGGTGGTGCACAGTGCACCATTCATCAGGTGGCTGGATTAATTGGCCTGGCTCTGAGACAGACGGGGCTGATGCAAAAGAAAGCAGAAGGAGACTGGAGTCCTGCCAGCTCATTTCATCCACTGATATGAGGCAAACCCTCTCAGCAGGAAACTGCACTAGCTCCCTGAAAACAGGCAACGATGACTGAGAGGTCACTCAGGCAAGTAGCACCTCATGGGCCAGATGAGATGTGTCATGATGATGATGGTGGCCCCTGTCCTGATCATCAGCCTCCCTGGGTCTGGGTCAACTCAGTAGCATCTGCACAGGCTCCCTCATTTCCCTCCACCTTTTCAAGTTCCCCTCGGACTTGGACTACTGTCTGAATTCCTGGCCCTGATACCTTCAGCCCACCCCACTGTCCCCTGCCATATGCTTTCTCATGGCAAAAAAAAGACTTCAGAGATGACTAAGGCACAAACAATACCAGAACTTTCAACTTCAACCCTTCCAGTTGCCCCAGATTCTGTTTTCATCCTGGACATCTCAAGCCTGTATTTTGAAGTTGGCCAAGAAGAATTCAGAGTCTGGCTCTGCTAATAACCTAGGGAATGCATTTTTTAAATGGCCTTTACACAGAGCTACATTCCCAGCCCTTTTAACATTTTTTAAATTTTTGAGACAAGGCTTCACTAAACTCACTAAGATGCCCAAGGAGGGGCTTGAACTTGCAATCCTTCTGTCTCAGCCTTCCAAAGTGCCTGGCCCACTTCATTTCTATGTGTCTCACTTCATTCACCATAAAAATGGAGATAACGGCACCTCAACATCTATTCTTAAGAGGGCTGTTATATAAATTGAATTATAAGCCCAATCTCGTGGAGTCCATGGGATCTTGTCACACAGAAGGGAATTACTAAATGGTCCTTCTTTTCTCTGTCTTCCTGCAGTCTTTCCTGCCCCTATTGTTTTTGTTCTCTCCTGGGAAGTCATGATACAGGATGCAGCACCCTCCCTGCATCCCGCCCTGCCCCTGCTCTTTCCACATTACGTAAGCCTTGCTCTTCTACTTGGAAACTGGATGGATTTAAAACAATTTTGAGAAGACACCTGCTACCTGACTCTTACCATCCAAAACTCAGGGAATGAGGATGCTCACTACCCAAACTTTCTTCCAAACCCTTGTGCTCCTGAGGTGTGCCCTGCCCTGGCCTGGAATCACACCCAGTGTGGTACGGAATGCATGTGAGCATGGGGTGAGCCCCGGCTGGCAGTGTACCTCCCTCAGAGTGCCACACAGAGCCTTGTTAGTAAAGGTGAGCCTGTATTGTGCATTCATTTTGGTGACAACATATGTATGAGTCTGAGACATTTAAAAGCTAACCACTACCTCTTTTATTCATTTATTTTGAAGGCTTGAAATGATTAAGAGTTCATCATTTACATCACCAAGAACAAAGAATATGGAACCCATATGTAATATTCTTGAACCAATTCACTTGATTTTTAAATGTCTATGTTTTTAAAGATTCCAGGGAAGAAGAAATTTGGACTCTGATGGAGCAAGGATTGGCAAGTTGGCTTTAGCCAAGTCCCATGTTTCACAGGGTGCTCCTCTTCCAGCCTTTCTGCTGCAATCCATCCATTGCACTATTCCTGCTGGAGATTCGGGGAAGAACAGAGTGCACCAGATGCACAACCATCCCAGGACCCTTGGTCATTGTTCACCCCAAAGTCAAAGCGATTCCCTCTTCCTTGCTGCAGTTCCTGTGGGAGGTTCTCAGGCTTAATCTACCTTCTCCCTGTGGCCTGGCCCTTGGCCAGCCAACACACTCACAACTCCTGGATCTAGATAGCTGTACACTCCATGTTTTAGGCCATTTATAGAAGTCACCTGAGTGGTGAAGGTAAAGCGGCTGCTAGTGCTACAAAATAATGCTTCCTCAGGATTCCGCCTGTGACATGTTTTCTATTGACAGATGGAATAGACATCTGTCCTAGTTCTGGCCCATTAGGAAATTGACAATGGCCTCCTTGCCACCAAATTAAACTGTCCTAAAACACAGACCTCTTCTTTATAACACCAAGTCCCAAGTGCACAATTAGTCTCTATGATCTTAGAAGGCTCCAGTTACAGTGGCTGGGTCTCTTTTGTTTCTTTCTTTCTGGTGGTAACAAAAAGGAGTGAAATCATTTACTCAATGGGACATTGATAATTCAGCTCAGCACCCAGGGTAATCCAGCCTGGCTTGTTAAGGAAGGTGGAGCATGCCTGGCCATGGTCACTGGACCTCTAGGGCCAAGTCAAGAGAAGCCTGGGGCTCAGGTGGGTGGTACTGTAGCCAGGGATGCTCCTCTCTACAGGGCTGGGGACTATATTTGGGCTCCAGGGCTGTTCCTCAAGAGTCAGCAGGATGCTGGCAGGAACTCAGAGGACAGTCTGGCATTCTATATGGCCTTTTTTGTTGCTGCCTATTTTCTGGAGTCATGATGAGGACAGTCTGGGACTCAGGGGTAGAAGGTATTATTGATGCTTCCTCCAGTCCTGGCTTGGCAAGCTGTGGCCTTGTGACTGATGGATGAGGAATAGAGCTGCCATCCATAGGCTTTTCATGTGGTTGTTCAGGAAGATCATGGCTGAGAGATGTTGAGCTGCGAATGTCCTGGCTTTTTCCTACATCATGGCCCCTTGCAACTCAGCTGCCAGAGATGCTTGGTATCCTTCAAGAGTCGAAAACACAGGCCCAGAAAATGTGAAAGACACAGAAGACTGGGGAACTATTTTGTCCACTTGGAGAAACTGAAGCTTGGCATGTAAGATATCTTTTATAAGATCTCTTCCCTAACCTCTTCCTCTATAAATAGGAATGCTACAATTCTGGGCTGCATTTCCATAGGGTTATTATGGATGCCATGGAGCAACCTCTGAGAAGGTTTTGCAGTTGACAGAAGGTGGACCCTTGCTCATGGTTTTGCTCTGCTCAGTGTCAGAAAGTATAGCAATAAATGATTCATAAGTTTTAAACACTTACACAGCATGTTGTATTGTTGTAATTGTTCTACTTTGTTATTAGTTAATGCTTCTAGTTTATACTCTCAGGTCTATGTGTCTGAGAAAGCATAGTATTTAGAGAGCTCTTGACTATCTGTGGTTTTAGGCTTCTGTGGACCATCCTGGAACATCTGTCTGCACTATGGACAAAGGGGAACCCCTATATAATGATAAGGTGATGACAGTGACAGTGATGATGATGATAATGACAGAAATGAAGTTCTAATAAACAGCTTTAACCATCTGGAAGCCACCTGACCACAACTGAAATACCTCTGAGGTGCCCATGAAAGGGGACACTATTCCTCACTGGCATATGCTGGTAAAGGCTCTGTTCCTGGAGCCCTGCCCACACCCTTCAGGGCCAGCTTGGTAACATATGCCGAGTGCCTGGGTGGCTCCTGGTGAGACCAGAGGCCAAGACCTTTGCTGGGACTGAAAAAGCCTGCTTGAATCGGGCCACTGACTTATCCTCTCCCATCCTGTTTGTTCTATTCTGAAGGGAGCTGTGACAGGCCATGTGAGCTCATGGGTCCATGCACACAGAGCTATGCTCCCACTGAGTTGGTGAACACAGGACTGAAGGAGTGTGTGTGTGTGTGTGTGTGTGTGTGTGACCACTCTGGTCTTGTGGCCTGGGCTCTCCCAGCTCCTCATCAGCCATTACCAATCCAGGTCAGTGTTCATACTTGGGTGGGGTGTGCTTTTTCTCTGCTGCTTTGGGAGAAAATACAGAAAGATGGGCTCTTCTTCACCTTTTCCTCAGTGCCCATATCTGGTACCAGCTCAGGAGAGACAAGGACATCTGAGCCCACTAGGCCAGGCTCAGCACCTCATCTTTGCCATGCCAATTCTGGTACCCATGTATGCAAACCAGCTGTGCAGAGCATGCCAGCAAGGCCAGTTAGGAGGGCCTGGGGTCCCTGGCATGGAATGTTACCAGGGGTGGGGGTGGTTTGCTGGGTGTCTCCATGTCGACATTGACACTGACTCCTGCTGCTGTGGCAGAGCCTGATCCCTTAGTACCTTTCCACGGCGCAAGCTGTAGCATCATGGCTGATGGATGAAGAGTAGGTCTGCCACTCGCCCCCAGGCAGCTCTCGCACCTGCACGGTGAAGTAACGGATGGGAGAGGCCCCATCACTGCCTGGGACCCACTGGAGCTGGAGGCTACGTGCAGTCACTTCTGCCTGGGGTACCTGGAGCTCTCTGGGGGGCGCTGGCCGCTCTGCAAGCAAAGAGGGCAGACAGAGAGGCATGAGAGAGACTGCTTTCTGTGTGTCCAGCTGCCCCTGTGACCATGGGCTGCATGGGAGTCAGACCCTAAAAGGTGAGGTCTCAGCTCAGAGAGGACAACTGTCTCCCAGCTGACTTTGGCCGTGCTGGCTTGGATCTTCTGGAGACCCTGCAGGCTCTTGCAGCAGAGGTGATAATCACACAGGCCTCTGCCTTTCCTGTCATGTGCTAGGGTCTGAATGACAGATGGCATCACAAGCTCAGGGCTCTTCCCAGGACTTCTGCTTCTTTTGTACTCTCTGGCCCACACTCTGCTACCATTAACACCAAACCCTCCCTCCCTGGGGGCCAGCCCAAGTTGCAACACAAGAACCTTGAGCCACTTATGAGGGGGGTGGTTGTCCTGTCTGCAGCACTGGGACTAGGTTGCAGGGTACAAGATGCACAGGATTGGCCTGGTCTTAAGTGAGTAACACTGACCTGTCACTGTGCCCCTGTACCCCATTGATTTTAACCAGAGAGGCTCCACAGAGGGAGGAATAATTGTTTAATTGTTTATCATGAAGATTATTGATTCTGATTAAAATGTGTGGGGTGTAATAAAGCAGCAATTGATCGTGGGCCCTGCAGTGATGGGTCTGTGAGAAGTACTTCGATCTACCCTAATCAGCAGTCTGTGCCACCCAATTTCTCCTGGAACCTTTCCTCTGCTCCCAAGCCTCCTTCAGACACACACCAACTAGAAGGTCTCTCAGCTCCTTGTCGCTGAGCCACAGACAGAGATTGCCTGGGCCTGCTGGGAAATCTAAACTCCCAGAGAAGCAGGTGCTCCAGAGGAGAGGGGGTGCAGGTTGGGGGGCTATAGGCACTGCCTTCAGAGCAGGCAGGTGTGGGCCAGCTGTACTTCTCCAGCCACAGAAGGGTATGTGTATTTCCACTTGGAACTGACTTAGTTCAAACCTTTCATTGCCCGACAGGCCTTGGGGCTGGCTGTACAGGCTCATCTTAAACCCAGTGGTCATGCAGTGCCTATGCAGGGGCTCATCTTAGAGAGCACTGGTTTCCTGAGATTTGCTGTGAGATCCAGAGAAGCAGATAGAGGTGACCATATCCAATAAGGTGACCAGAATATGGTGGGTGTTCAGTGTGGTGTTCTTCCCTTCTAGATTTAAGGCCATAGCTGTTTTCCAAGTGCTCTGAGTTCAACCCTTCATTCCCTAAAATTGTATATTCTAGATCTCATAATAAAAAATAGTCATGGTGAGAGGCTGAGAGATGAGGATCTCACATTCAGGCCCAGCCCGGGCAACTTAGTGAGACCCTGTTTCAAAACTTAAAAAGAACTAGGGATGGAGCTCAGTGCAAAGAGGCCTTGGGTTCAATTATAGTCCCACAAATTTTTTTTAAAAACACTCAGAAACATGGAAGTAACTACCTTTCACATTTGTTGAGCACTTACATCATTCCAGCCTTGCTCCCAGGATGCCCCGATGCCAACATGGACAGCTGCTCAGGCATCTTAGGCACTATGATGATTGCTCCACACCAGGCTGCAGTTTTGTACTATGATACAGAGTGGGTGGGAGCTGTCCAAGGTCTCACACCTCCAAGTGCTGTTTCCCAGCAGCCAATGGAATCCACCTCTGCCCTGATGTCACCATGCACAGTTTGTGCTGCTAGGCAGGCTCTGGAGCAAGGCCTGAGCTGTGGGCAGGAGCCCAGGGACAGGAGCCACTGCAGACACTGGGTGGACCTGGCCTTGTGGTCGGGCCTGAACCTCACCTCCACAGGATGTGAACTGGCAGATCACTAAATCTGTCTAGCTGCTGCTCCTGTGAGACTGCAGTGAGAAAGAACCAAGACACTGCACCCCACAAAACTGGTCCCTGTGACAGTCACAGAGGGCAGCTAAACAGAAGACATCTCCTAAGTACCTGCTCCCTGGACACACAGCTTTGAACATCTGAGAGAGGTGCATGGATTTGGAAAGCTTATAGTCATGTGATTGTGCAACCCTGGCACACTTACACAACCTGACTGAGCCATGCTTCTCATCTTTAAGCCTGGGTAATCTCACCTGTCTGAGAGAGGAGGAAGTGGCTAAAGGTTGTGCTATGTAGATAATGATACAACATGATAAGGTGGTCAGCTCAGTGTCTTGCTCAGTGGGTCTTTTCTGTGTTTCTGAGGGAAGTCCCAGGCTTCTCTGTGGACCAGAGACTCCAACATGGCAACCACATGTCCTTCACCACCTCCTTTTGTCCCTGCCATGACATTAGATTTGGGCGGAAGGGCTTACCTCTCTTCTCGGTGGTGATGACTGTGGCCTCCAGTGGCTCCCCCCAGCCCTGCCTTGTCTTGGCTGAGAGCCTAAAGACATATGCAGACTCTGGGGCCAGCTCGGTGGCTGTGAACTGTCGCACAGTGGCGCCAACCTCCACGGTGGTAAATGTGTGTGGGCGGCTGCTGGCCAGGCGATAGGCGATCTGGTATCCTGTGGGTGAGGCAGGGCAGAGAGATACAAGGAGACTGCTCAGCCAGTCCTTGGGATTCAGGTCTGCCTGCCACCCCATAATGACTTCTGGATTAGAGACTTAAACACAGCAGCAGGATAGGATGCACAGAAAGGCAAATCACACTTAGGGTGATACGTGAAGGGCCTCAAAGCATAATCTCCCGGGAAACTTGTCTCACTCTTCATATGTCATGGAAACAAGATGTGAAAACAGTTTCATCTTTCCCAAGGCTGCCACTAGAGTCCTGTCTTTGCTCCTGCTGCAGGGTAGGCTGCGGCTTTTCTGTTCCCTCGTTCCCTTGCCGATGAGGTAACGGTTCCTTTCTCTTCTGGGCAGGACATGGCAGTGCCAGCCCTCAGCAAGTCCTTTAAAATTTGCCAATCACAATGTAGCCTTTTGGGCAGAGTGACCACATAGGCCTGGCACCCTTTTTGTAACCCTCCTTTCTCTTGTTTTCACACTGCCCATGATCCTAGGCTTCCTTTTCTTTGTGCCACCCCCTCCCTAGCATCTTGTTTAGTTCCAGGGAGGTTTCACTTTGAAGAATCCTCCCCCAGTGCTTTTTAATCTGCTGAGAGAGGGCTGGGCCTGCCTGAGCAGCTCAAAGTTCTTTGACTATTAAAGGTTCATGGTTGATCAAACATTATTAATGATCAAATCCCTCCAACCAGGCAATCTTGAGGCTCGCCTGCCAGCATCTAAAGAGGCCTTGCCAGCTCTCAGACCCATTCCAGGATGCTTGCACTAGGTTTGTTCTTCTTTGGACTCACAAAGAGTGTGTGGTCCTGCTGCTTGGCTGCCAGCTGATTAAAACCAGACAGGATACTGTGGCATCAGGGTATTGTGGCATCAGAAAAATTAATGACATCCCAACTTCAGTTTAAACAAGGAGGACCTACAAGGGGAAGTCAAGTGAGCAGAGACGACCAACCCTTGCCAGCAATGCCATCACAGGCAGCCTTTGAGGGGGTGGCCACCCGCAGGGACCAAGTGCTGCCTGGCACCCTGACAGGCTGGCTCGTGCACCAGTTTGGATATCCCCAGCCTCTCAGCTCTGGGTGAGGCACCTCTGTGCACTATGTTCCTTCTCCTTGCCTGCCCCTTGGATCAAGGGTGACTGAGCTGCCTGATATCCTCCTGCACAGCAGTTCCTGTGCTGCTGTATATCCAGCTATGTAAAGAGCCCCTTCCAGCTGCTTTGTGGAGGCTGAAGGATAATCACACAGAGGTCACACTCAAAGTGTACCTTGACTGTCAGCTCCTGCCATGAGGTCATTGTCAGTACTACTATCATCATCACACAGACTGGGACAAGGCATGGCCACCCCCATCCAGCACAATGCCACCTGGATGCCCAGGTACATCATCACAGCCATGGCTTAGTTCTGATGGTTGGGCTTGCCTACCTGCATGGGGACCCACAGGGGCTTCCTTGAGGTTGTCCAGCTGGCCTCAGGCCACTGGCCAAGGTATCAGGCTCTAAGCTTTCCCTGTCTACACCCACAGAAGCCTAGAAAAGGTTTCTCCCAGACCGTTCTTTCTCCTTCTTATCCCTATCATAATGATGTGGCTAGGAGTCTGCAGCTCAGTGGAATCCACAGATTCCAGGTTCAAGCCTGCAGTGATGCCAGACACCCAGCATTCTGAAGAAAAGAAAGATGGCACAGCAGCAGCAGGTGCCATACCTGAGCATCCTGTGTGCTATGGGACAGGGAAGACCCTGTTGGGCTCCTACAGCTCTTCCTGCAGCCTAGGAGCCCAGTGTATAGTGCAGGAGTTGGTGACAATGGGAACCACAGGCCTCACTTTCCTTCTAGAAAGATCAACCCATACCCTTTTTTTGGCAAGGAGATAGTCCTATGTTCCACAGCGCCCTTGATGAGCAGATTTCCCAACAGGAACAGTGTTCTTTCTAGAGGGAAGGATGTGAGTTCTAGAGGGCACGTAGCTAGACTGGAACCCAGGCTTTGCTAATTTCCCACTCTGTGGACAAATGATGCCCCCTCTCTGACTCTTACTGGGGCTGGGGACAACAGGAAACACTTCCAAAATACAGTATGGCCACAGTGCTCTGTCTGCAGCATTCTTGGGTCTGATATGACTCCAAAGTGGTAATAATAACCAGTGCTCCATGGTCCTGCAGCTGGAAGGTGCCATTTTCCAACTGTCCCTTCACCACAGTATTCTGGTGGCCTCTTTGTTAACCCTCAAGTAATGTTTTTGTGCAGCCTCCACAGAGCTTTATTCTGAGGCTCCCCCTCCTCCCTCTCCCACAGAGCCTGTGACAGTTCCACAAAAGCCTTAGGCAGCCCCAGGACAGATGGGTGACTCTGGCAGGGTCACAAGCAACACACTCAAGTTCCCAGCCTGGCCCACAAGGATTGAGGATTGGGGAAAACACTTAACTTTTGCCACTTTACTGTTGATAGGAGCAAGCCCTACCTTCACAGACGTTCAGGGCAAGCTTCCGTAAGTGGTGATTCCTCCGCAAATATGTATTTCTCAATGATTTCCTGTTTCTTCGGGGCCAGGAAAACTACTGAATTCTAATTCCATCTGATTCCAGTTCAAAGCTTTTAACTGGGAGCAGCAGCTCTGGACATGGAATTAGTATTCAATCTGGGAAAACTCTAGATTTAAATTGCCTTTAAAAAAAGGCATTAAAGTGTTGTGGTAAAGTGTTTTATTATTAGTTTTGAATTGTATTACATTAAATGGCTCAAAATTAGCACAAAGTAAATAGTGCAAGGCATGCTTCTCCACACCTGATCTCACACCTACCAGAGCCCCACTCCTAACCAAGTTCTACTTTGCTGGGCATCTTTCTGGGATAATCTGAGAATACAGAAGCAGAGTGCTTAGGAAGATATTTTTCTATCTTTCTTCATTATATAGGATCTCACTATATAATTTAAGCTAGTCTTAAATTTGTAATCCTCTTGCCTCAGCTTCCTGCGTGCCAGGTCAGAGGTGTACATCACCGCACCTGCTGACCCCCCCATCCCTCTGAGCACACTGCAGCGGATCAGAATCCTGTCCTGCATATTGCTTTTTCCCCTAGCATCTTTGGAGGCCATGTGCTTGGCTGGTTGTGAGTTTTTCCTTCTGATCTTTTGGAGGGCTCATTACCTGTCCGTGGTTCTTCTAGCTCTTGCCTCTCTCTGATAGCACCTCATGGTTCTTTGTCATGAATGACAGTGAAACCAGCATTATCTCCTTCTTCCTAACCATCTCATATCTTTTCTGTCACCTAATTTTGGTTCACTATGTTACTGCTTTCTTTCTCCTACTTTTTATATATTTTAACATGCTTACCTCTTTATTATCTGTTTTTAACTCTGAATTGTGTCTTCTCAGACTTACCAGTTGCTGTGAGATACAGAAATGGTGCTCTCCCATCACCCCAAACTTCTCAATATATCTCCTTCTGGCTTTCAACAGCTATCTACTATCTCTGTGTTGAGGTGACTCGAGGGTTCCATGTCGCTGTGCAGTCAGAGGCTGCAGGTACAGAGTGACACTTGCTTTGGAAGAGGTAAAAGTGGCTCACAGCAGAGATCAAGGCTGGGGAAAACAACCTGCCTCTGTTCTAGGGCACCATTGATCACATGGGATTATTACTTCTACACATAGCCCAAAGTGGGTCTCATTCCTGGGTATGGCCCCAACTTCCTCCTGACCATACGAACACAGTCAATTTGTAACCAGCACAAAAGCAACCCACTGTGGCCCAAAGCCATTGCCATGTGCATACTTAGAAACTAAAGATATTTTGCAAAGACCAATCATACTTTATAACCAAGCCCACACATTATATTGGTGACATGAACATGACTGAGAAGACCATGATCAAACACAATATTTTAAAAAACATCAAGAATGCTGAGTGAGCAGTACAAGTGAATTTAGACGCTTGAATACCATTTCTGGGGATCAAGAGACACAGGCCTCCTTAGAGAAGTGCAAATTAAGTGCATTAAAAACAGAGGATGCCTGGGGCCGGGCTGTGCACCCTGTTTGGTGCACACTGCAGGCAGGATCATACCGCTGGTTTTGCACACTGAACAGATTTGTAGTTGAGTAGATTTCTTCTTCACAATGCGAGAAAGCACAGGTTTACCTCAGATAGCAGGGAAGTGGAACTTACTTGACAGCACTCCCTCCACAGGCTCCTGATCTGCCCTTGCTGGTTATCCTCAAGGCCAGCAGGCACCCCATGCCCATTAACGTACCCTCCCGTGGGCTCTGCCAGCCAGCCTTACCTCACTATTTGCTATTTCACATTTTGTAAACTGGTGTGGGATTGCAATTCTTCCATACCATTCCAATTTGCCTTTCAACTTGGAAGTCTGAATTACTGAGGCATTATTTATTTCTAGGGTCTAGATGTGATCATAGATATATATATATATTTTACTATTTAATCAGTATTATTTTACCTCTATTCAGATTAAACTGTTAGAGATACTAACCTAGTGAACTGAAGATTATACTCAATAGCACTTCTTTGTGAACCACAAAGTTTAGGGACCAAAGGGGAACTAGCACCTCTTAGCCAAGCCAGATCCTTCTTTTTATCATTGCCCTGACCTCTAATCTCCTGTCATCCCAGGATGACCCTTGGCCTTAGGTTACCCTGTCATGTGACTATATCCGATGACTATGCTCCACTTGTTCCTTCCCTTCGGCCTATGTCATCTCTGCTCTGGGCAATACATTGCCACATGTTATATGTTGTATGTAATCCTGCATCTCTCTCAGAAGCCCTTGGTTGTACTGGAGAGAGTCAGAGACCTTGTCTGTGCTCACCTTGGGCAAGATCATATAATCACGCCTGCTTGTTAACAAGATGAGGGGCCTCGAGCTTTGGGCACATTCTATGTAGCAAGTAGACCTAAGGCATTCCATAAGCAGAAGAAAGCATGTATGTGAAGCAGGCAGGTTCTGCACATCACCATGAACACAGTGATGAAGCTGG